ATATAAAAATCCCAGAAAGGTCTTCTTCATGGATATTTGTAACTGGTTTTAAAATTGTCATCCAGCCAGGCGCGGTGGCTCAAGCCTGTAATCCCAGCACTTTGGGAGGCCGAGGTGGGTGGATCATGAGGTCAAGAGATCGAAGCCATCCTAGTCAACATGGTGAAACCCTGTCTCTACTAAAAATACGAAAAATTAGCTGGGCATGGTGGCATGTGCCTGTAATCCCAGCTACTCAGGAGGCTGAGGCAGGAGAATTGCCTGAACCCAGGAAGCAGAGGTTGCAGTGAGCCGAGATCACGCCATTGCTCTCCAGCCTGGGTAACAACAGTGAAACTCCATCTCAAAAAAAAAAAAAAAAAAAAAAAAATTGTGATCCAAAGGCAGCCAAGATAACTTTGAAAAAGAATAATATGGGGGCTTGTCCTACCAGATATCAAGACATATACAATAAATATTTCACTATGCCATAACATTAAGACAGTATAGTATTGGTGTAAATGGAGATCACTAGACTAATGCAATAGAGAAAGCCCCACAACATGTGGGAATTTGGTATGTGACAGAGACAGCATTACAAACTATGGGAAAAGAAACAAGCTAATAGGTGGTTCAGGGACAACTGCTATCCACGCAGGGAAAAAACAGATCTCTAACTCATACTACATCCAAAAATGAATTCCAAGAGAATTACAGTTAACTTTAAAACATTTAGGAAAAAAATGGTTTTTAGACACTATTTTATGATCTTAAGCTAGGGACTGACAAAAAAATACAAACCATCAAGTAAAAAAAAAAAAAGAAGAGAAAATTGAGAAATTTTATTTTAAACGTTCTGTGATGAAGGATGCCTAAACAATGTTTAAAGGCAAGAAATAGACTTGGAGACAGAAAATTTTTTTTAAGTATTCATAATATTTAGTGAACACTTAGTAATCTATAAGGAAAAAACAACCCGATACAAAAAAAAAAAAAAAATGAGCAAAGTCTAGAGATGGGTAATACAAAGAGAAAAAGAAAAAAAAACCCAAATGATTAAAAAAATAAGAAAAACCAAAACTAAACATATAACCTCATAAGTATCAGAGAAATATAAATCAACACAGTTAGATGCCTTTTCAATCCATCAGATCACTATATGTTAAAAGCCTAACAATGTCAGTGAGTGGGAGAAGATGCAGAATAAGAAGAATGCTCCCACATTGGTGCTGGAAGTGTAAACTGAGAGCAATCTGGCAACACCTAGCATCTTTTATGATCTTTGTATCCCAAGACCCAGTAATTCCACTTCTGCTTCTGTATCTTTGAAAAACTCAACAGATCCACATGGAAACAAGGCCAGAGAAGGTCACAATAGAACTGCTTATAAAATGACAAACTGGAAATATCAGTTAGGGAGTGGATATATTATGATCTATTTATAGAAAGAAATTGATTTATGTCTGAGTCTGTCTAGGCTGCTATAACACAAATACCATAGACTGGGTGACTTACATAACATTTCTCTTTCAGTTCTGAAGGATGGAAGCCAAGATCAAGGAGCCAGCATTTGTGGTGATGGGGACTCACTTCCCAGTTCATAGTGGGCCTTCTCATTGTGCCCTCATACAGTGAAGGGGTGAGAGAGCTCCCTGGGGTCTCTTTTACAAGGGCACTAATCTCATTCATGAGGGCTTCACCCTTGACCTAATCACCTCCAAAATCCCACCTCCTAATAGCATGGTATTTGAGATTAGGATTTCAGCATATGAATTTTGCAGGGAAAGAAACATTGTCTATAACAATATAACAGTTAAGGGAACTACCTCTACATACATCAATTAGGATAAATCTCAGATACATGACTTCAAGTGATACAGCAAGTTGCAGAAAAATGGATTACTGATAACATTACCATTCATTTTTTAAACTTGCAAAACTGTACTAGTTACTGTTTATGACAGCAGTCCCAAACGTTTTTGGCACCAGTTTAGTGGAACACCGTTTTTCCACAGATGGGGGTGGGGGATGATTCCAGGATGACTCAAAAAAATTACATTTATCATTAGATTCTCATAAGGAGCGAGCAACCTAGATCCCTTGTGTGCGCAGTTCACAATAGGGTTGCGCTCCTATGGGAATCTAATATGACAAGGCTGATCTGACAGGAGGCGGGGCTCAGCCAGTCACGCTGGCTCTCCTGCAGCTCACCTCCTGTGGTTCCTAACAGGCCACGGACCTGTACTAGTCCATGGTCTGGAGACCTCTGGCTTATGACGCATAGTCACATAGCAAAATGCAAGAGGTATGTAACAATGCAACCTCTAAAGAGTGTTTACTGCTGGGAAAGCTGTGGAAGAATGTAGCAGGGTGGGGTCACAAAAAAGGCTTTGACTACAACATTTTCTGTTAAAAAAAAATCTTTCTAAAATGTGGCTAAATGTCAATATTTATTAAATCCGAGTCATGGGTACCTGAACGCTATGTTGTTCTCTGTAAATATTTTTGTATTTTTTTTTTTCAGTCCTCGCTCTGAACAGGAAAGTCCAACTGCTGTTGGGAATATTTTTGTGTTTTAAATATTAAATAGCTCATAACTTTGTAAAGTTACAGTTTAAAAGGGTGTATGTGGTATTTTTCTGCACATTTCCCCAACATTTTTTCTTTTTCTCTTTATTTAAAGTTCCAGGAATATATTTGCATGATGTGCAGGTTAGTTACATGGGTAAATGTGTGTCATGCTGATGTGCTGTACCCATCAACCCATCACCTAGGTATTAAGCCCCACATGCATTAGCTATTTATCCTGACGCTCTCTCCCCCACCCCTCTGCAACAGCTCCAGTGTGTGTTGTTCTCCTCCCTGTGTCCCTGTGTTCTCATTATTCAGCTCCGATTTATAAGTGAGAACATGTGGTATTTGGTTTTCTGTTCCTGTGTTAGTTTGCTGAGGATAATGGCTTCCAACTCCATCCATGTCCCTGCAAAGGACATGAGCTCATTCCTTTTTATGGCTGTGTAGTATTCCATGGTATACATGTATCACATTTATTTTATCCAGTCTATAATAATTTCCCCAACATTTCAATCTAGGTATACAGTTGTATCAGCAGTCTGGGACCTGAGGAACAGTCCTGGTTCCAACACTACCACACTGTGTGACTCTGAACAAATCACCAAACCTTTCTGGGTCTCAGTATGTTCATCTATAAAATGGGGATGGTCATAGCAGTTACATTTTAGAGGCAGTGGTTAAGAGCATGGGTTCTGGAATTAGATCTGGACTTGATCCTCAGCTCTACTACTTACCAGCTGTGGGACCTTAGTCAATTTACTTAAACTTTCTAAGAGGCACTATCCTCATCTAAAAATGGAAACAGAGATAGCATGTAGCTCACAGATCTGCTATGAGAATAAAACATAAGGAATAATGAAAATCTCTTAGCACACCACCATCAACAAAATAAAATTACAAAACCAAGAGAAGATATTTGCCATGCATATAATGGACAAGGGAGTGGTGTCAAGCATACATTACATACTCCAATAAGTCAGTAAAGAAACAACAAACCAACAGAAAAATAGGCCAAGGAAAGAAAGAAAGAACTCATGGGGAGGAATCCTGACTACTCAGTACACAAATGAAAAGACGCTCAGCCTCACTGGTTATCAGGAAATTGCAATTGAAGCGTGACACAACGATCATTTGGCAAATGAAAAAAATTTAAAATACGACTCTAACAAGTATTGGAGAGAATATTGAGCATTAGGAATTCTCAGACCCTGCTCCTGAGAAGGGACTTGCACTTTGGAGAGCAGTTTGGCAACACGCAGGGAAGACAATGTGCTAACGCCATCACTTTGCTATTGGCTACATACCTAAGAGAAACTAGCACGCATGGTGTGCAAAGAAGACGTGCAAGTTGTGGCACTGCTTCTCATATCAAAAAGCTAGACACACCTGTAGTGTTCCTCCAAAGGACATCTTAAAACTTAGAAGTAACTTTAATGTCCTTCATCTGATCGACTACAACACAGCATGGAAAACGGATTAAGTAGAAGCACATGTTCTTCAACAGACAAATCTTACAAATATAATGTAGAACACAAACTCCATGATATCCTTTAGAGAAAGTTTAAGTATATATGTAAATATATATATTTATTTACAGTTTAAGGATACACACGTGTGAAAGATAAAACCATGCATGGTGATAATGAACATTGAGCATCACATTTAAATTGATGACTGTGATATTCAGGGGGAAGAAAAGCAGGTGGAAATGGGGAACATCTATCTCTTTTTTACAAAAAAGAACAAGGAGATGACAAAATGGTGGTGAATGCACATTTGTACACAATCTTCTCTGCATTTTCTGTTTGCTTGAGATCTTTCATAATAAAAAAATACTGTGTTTTGTACATTTATAAGATGATATGGTTTGGCTGTGTCTCCACCCACATCTCACCTTGAATTGTTGCTCCCCTAATCCCCACGTGTCATGAGAGGGACCTGGTGGGAGGTAACTGAATCATGGGGGTGGGTTTTTCCCATGCTGTTCTCCTGATATTGAACAAGTCTCACGAGATCTAACGGTTTTATAAAGGGGGTTCCCCTGCACAGGCTCCCCTGCCATTATGAAAGACGTGCCTTTGCTCCTCCTTCACCTTCCACAGATTGTGAGTCCTCCCAGCCAGTGAAACTGTGAGTCCATTAAAACTCTTTTTCTTTACAAATTACCCAGTCTCTGGTGTTTCTTCATACCAGTGTGAAAACAGACTAATACATAACACATGTCAGTAAATATTTGTTTTTAGGAGCCCCCTAACGTAGGTAGGGCAGTATTAATATTAACATTTTGCAGATAATAGAAGTGAGGGACAAAAAGCTGGCAGAGTGGGCTCGTGGCCTGTTGTCCCAGGCTCCACGCCCTACTCTTGACATGATGATGTTCACTCCACTCATTTAGTCATTTACTTAATACAGGGAACTGGAACCTGACGCAACTTAGGGCAGGCGGGTGAAGAAGACAACCTCTTCCTTTCTGGAACAAACCACAGTTTGAGGAACGACAATGACGGAACTCGATAAAAAGGGAAGAAGCCAGACTGCTCCGGTCATCTGACGGCTCTTCAATGAAGCTGTAATCCACTCGTGGAGGGCCTGACCATTCACTGCGAATCTGCCGAGGAGGAGGAAGGGGCCGGAGGAAGTGAGAACGTCGGCCTCGGTTCCAGCATCATTGCATCATTCCAGCACAGTATCCAAATTAAGGACGGGGCGCTGCGCTGAGTGTAGGGGCATGAGCTCAGAACTCCTGTCTGGGGCTGGTCCCTTTTCTGCTCTGGGCTCTTCTTGTGTAAAAATGAAGAGTAGACTACCATCTCGAGGCCAGTGAAATTCTAGACTCTCCTTTCTGTTTTTCAGGATTTTTTTTCTTTTCTTTTAAAATCCGAAATGGGAGCTTCCGCATTTATTATTTGCACGTGGTTCTGAGGCTCACTCCTGGCCACATCACAGCTATGTTCTTTCGCCTCCGGTAAATACATAAAATGCCTAGCAACAGTCCTGGTGGCTGCTGGTCCCCATAAATACTGCTGCTCGGCTCCCGCCCCACCTCTGTACCCCGGCTCCTCTCACAGCCTGGGGACTGAGGTATGGAGGCCAAGAGAGGGTCGTTTTAAGGAAGAAGCAAGACAAAATGCTCCATCCCATCCAAGGAGTAAGCTTGCGGGGGGTGGGGGTGGGGGTGGGGGGGGGTGGGCGTGGCCTCGATCAATCACATCCCCTGAAGCAGCACTACATGCACACTGGAGGCTGGAAATAAGAAAGAATTTCCTGGCTGTAGGAATTGTTAAATAATAGGGCGGATGACCAAGGGAGGTTCCGGAATATCCTCCAGAGGTCTTTAAAAACGCGATACGAGATCGCCTGTCTGAGATGATTTTTTTTGCACTCCTGGAGAGAGACAGATAGACTAGGTGCCTTCATGGGCCTGGCCCTCCTCCCAAGGCATATGATTCTGTCTTTTGCTTTTTCTTACCCTTAGTAGTATCTAAAGTACTAAAGAAGTGCTTCCTTTATACGTTCATCCCCCTGGTGAAGCTCACTGACTGCCATCCTTTAGGCTGGTTTTCACCCAGTCCCTGGCCTCCTCACACCTTCCCTTGTTATTTTATGGAAAGCTGGTCAAAGGTCAGAGTTGCCCAGCTCCCCACAGTTTGGTGGTAGCATCTGATACCCAGACAAAACACAGCAAGGATTCCAATTCCAGCATATTGAAGCTTAAACACCAAATCTGGATGAAAACAGAGAATTAGCTGTTGCTAACAACCCATTGTAAATGAAAATATGATCCCAGTAATTGATTTTAAATAGATTTTTTTTTTTTTTTTTTAAAAGAATCCTTGGCCGAATTTCATCAAGAATACAGAGTTTCAAAAGCGTTCATTCCAGGGTTGGATTTTTTTCCCCCCTCTTTCTTCTGGCTTAAACCCCAAATGGCCAAGATCCCAGTCTGAATAAACAGTGTGGGTGGTGACTTTTCTGTGAGGCCCAGTAGAGGATGCAATCACTTTCTTATTCAGTTCAGCATTAAATCATGTGAAACTAGCCTGATTACTACACACAACTTTTACTCCGTAATGGAGGGCAACACAACGTGTATTCTTTCTCTGCTTCTCAGGGAGGAAAAAACGAATTCTTCTAACTGCCAGTGTTTAATTATGTATAAAGTTCATTGACCTCACAGGCGGCTGTCAGATGATCTTGCTAAGGCCTGTGAACGGCATCCCAGGAATGCAGTGATGTGGGCAGAAACCGAGTGAGTTCATGCCACCGAATGCTTTAAATGGGACAAATCAGCAGCCGTCCAGAAAGACTCTAGCGAAAACAGAACTTTTGGATAATCAGTAATTTAATCTCACCTAAGCATTTTGAGGCCTTCAAAAGTCATTGTTGTAAATCAGAAACTCAGGAAAAATCCCATAGGGATGGGGCCCATAACGACGGGGTGAAGTAATTTTGTTTGCTGGTTATTGCCACAGCTGGCTGGAAATGTATGTATTTGCAATGTCCTGTCCCTGTTTTAGAGGTAATGCTTTCTGACTTCCCTGCTACTGACATTAAAAGAAAATAATGAAGCAATCCCATTCATAAATACACGGTGGAGCCTGAAGGAGTGTGCAGAGTCTATGTTTATTTAGACAGTTGTGATATAGTGCAGCCTCCACATGTATATGCAGTAACTATACCTGCTTCTCAGTAAATGTCCTAAAATGTGTTTTTCCTACAGAGAGCTGGATTCTCCTCTTTGGGCTCAGGGAGTAAGATGAGCGTATGGATTGTCTCTACCTGGAGCATCCCTGCCTGTCTACTGTGAAAGGACCAGGAGACATTGGGAGACTGGCTGGCATGCGCTTCCTGGTAACAAGAGAGCAGAGTCCCCGGGGAGCTATGGGATGGTTAACTGCAGGAGCCCTGCTACTCAGAGCAGGGGAGGGAGGGTGACATGTGAAATAGGTGGGCTTGGTACTTCCTAAAACATTTAAATTACCTGATTGGGGGTCCAATATTATGTTCCTTCAGTTGTTTTCTCACCAAACACGTATTTTATCCATCCAAATATTACTCTTTCAGCTGGTAAAACTTAACAGGGTTGTATTCCAAAACAAAACTCTGCTGCATTCGTGCTGGTACCTTTAATGTTATAAGTATAAAAAAAGGGAGGCTGGAATTTAGCCAATAACTTTGGCACCCTGCTGGAAGCAAAATGGAAGGGGCCTCCCCTCAGTATCTCAATCTTAGACTAACCTGAAAGTGTCGAATCTTTTTCCAAATCAGCCACCTATGTTTTGAGTGCATAGTGTTTGTCTGCATCCAATTCGAGTTAATTCAATAACTATTTGGAAAACACAAATAATGGATAAGGCAATTCTGGTGACACAAAAATCAGGCCGGGTGCAATGACTCATGCCTCTGATCCTAGCACTTTGGGAGGCTGAGGAGGGTGGATCACCTGAGGTCAGGAATTTGAGACCAGCCTGGCCAACATGGTGAAACCCCATCTCTATAAAAATACAAAAATTAACTGGCATGGTGGCACATGCCTGTAATCCCAGCTATTTGGGAGGCTGAAGCAGGAGAATTGCTTGAACCTAAGAGGTGGAGGTTGCAGTGAGCCGAGATTGCACCATTGCACTCCAGCCTGGGAGACAGAGTGAGACACTGTCTCCAAAAAAAAAAAAAAATGGCATGAACTCTTAATCAGGTCACATTAATCCCAACTGGGAAGATTTGGGTAGGTTTCATGCATGGAATCTTCCCAGCATTGGGGGCTGAACGCTTAAAGGGGTTCAACAGGCCAAAGGGAAATGGAAACTTACAAAATCTCAGTTCACACTCACATGCCTTCTGGAGAAGAAAAGAGGTATCACTGTCACTGAGCCCTGCTCTTTCATGGCGAAGGTTCCATAATTTTATCTTGATGTTTTGTTTGTTTGTTTTAAGACAGTGTCTCGCTCTGTCTCCCAGGCTGGAGTGCAGTGGCGTAAACTTGGCTCACTGCAATCTCTTCCTCCTGGGCTCAAGTGATCCTCCCACCTCAGATTCCCAAGTAGCTGGGACTACAGATGTGCCACCATGCTTGGCTAATTTTTGTATTTATTGGCAGAGACGGGGCCTTGCCATCTTGCCCAGGCTAGTCTTGACATCCTGGGCTCCAGTGATCCTCCCACCTCAGACTCCCAAGTAGCTGGGACTACAGATGTGCCACCATGCTTGGCTAATTTTTGTATTTATTGGCAGAGACGGGGCCTTGCCATCTCGCCCAGGCTAGTCTTGACATCCTGGGCTCCAGTGATCCCCCTGCCTTGGCCTTCCAAAGCGCTAGGATTACCACTGTGAACCACTGCATCCGGCCTATCTTGTTTTTATAATCCACTTGATGTTTGATGGTTCCCACAAGAGCCTTTAAGACTCAGTGCATTTAATATTACATTGTGAAGTGAACAATCAGTAAAAAACAAAAGGAATTCCTTCTGTCTTCCCACCCCGAAGAAGGAAGCCTTCATTCAAATCTTCAAACATTTTCTATAAATATGATCATCCCCATAGTTACAGGGGAAGTACACTTCTAGATAAAGGAATCTGGACACAAAGTAATATCCTAAATCACTTCCACCCTTTGGATACTACAATTGATAAAATTCCATGAAGGAAATGACTCTGATTTCTCATGAAGTTCCCTATTGGGAAATCACTGTGTGCCACAGTTATGGAAGCAATATCTTTGTGCATTTCCCAATTCCCTGCCTTTGTCAGAGCCTCTCATCATCTCTCGACCACAGCAATTTAGCTATTTCTTGTCTATGGTATGTGCTGCATTCTGCCTGGTCAGACGTGAAGATGAAAACGTCACTTGTCTCTGTTATTTGAGTGCATGACTTGTCTCTGTTACATGTAAGTTCTTGGAAATTAGAGATTGATGTACTTATCTTTACATTCCCCAGTGTCATTAACAGGGTTGGTGACCACTAAAAGAATGAACAAATTACTCAGTAAATAAATACCATGAAAATGCCTACAGCACGGGTTGGAAAACGTTTTCAGTGAAAAACCAGAGAGTAAGTTATCTTAAGACATATGGTCTCTACCGTAATTACTCAACTCTGATGTTGCAGTGTGAAAGCAGGTAGAGACAATACATAAGCAAATGAGCATGGCCATGTTCCAATAAAACTTCATTTACAAAAGCACATGGCGAGAAAGATTTGGCCCATGGGCCATAGCTCTCTAACTCCTGGTCTTTGCTGGTTATCCTTGCTGTAAACCTCAGTATATTCTTTACACTTTCATATAGCACTTGCGTTTTTCAACAATGAGAGAAAGTGCAGAAAACATAAATGTTAAAGGGTTGTTCTGAAACTCCATAGTGATAAATTCACTTACAAACAAACCAGAAAGCACGCATGGAAATTAGCCATCCCACCGAGCATATTTCATGGCCACCTATTTTGTATATTGTATTCCTTTAAAAGGAAAAATTCTTATCCCAAGAAATAAGGGTAATAGTTTTGCCATTTACATCATCATGACTGAGATAACTTGATATGATAAGATCTCAGAGTTATTGAGTGAAAGGTCTGGTGCTAGGTCATGCTGAACTTGACACTCTCCTGGGAAATGGGAAGAAATGCTCCCCCATCCTGCTGTCCAGCAGATCATCTGGTCTCTAATTTTACTGCGAAAATCCTTCCCAAGGTTATTAATGAAAAAGATCCTCCTTTTTCTTGATAACCCTCTGGAAAATATCCAGCTAGAAAGAGTGCAACAGAATCTCAAAAGCTCAGCAAACATAGAAAAGTCCAGAGTAACTACCAGAATTTGATGAAGACAAGATGTCCTGGCCTGCCACCCTGGCCTGATTTGAGAGTGCCTCGCCCGTCATTACTCTTGCCTTGCTATCAGGTCACCTTTCATATAAAATACAATTTTAAAAAGGAGTTGGATTTGAATTGTGGCCGACACTCACAGGGCGCAAAGTCCTAGGTCAATTGCTTGGTTTGGAACAAATTCAACTAGTTTTTTTCAAAGTATGAGAAAATATACAACCAACAATGTACCAGTGAGCACCCGGCTGACATTTTGTGAGATGGGGTACTACTCCAAGGTATGAAGGCGTGGGTGTTCAAACTACGTCAGCCATTCACAGCTTGCGACGAAACAGTTCTACATATTTCTTCTAGGAAAGAAAAAAACGTGAAATTGAGTCTTTCCACTATGCCAAGCTTCTCCTCAACACCCGACCAAGAAATGGGATGAATTTTGTGCCTTAAGAAAATGAGAAAATAGAGGCTTGGGAATGGATGGTACCATGAGGCAGTCAAAAGAGCTGAGCACTCAAAAGACCTCAGCTCATACCTACCACGTTCAACCCGTGTGACGTGAGGCAGATTATCTGACTTTAATGTAACTTGATGCCCTCATTTTCAACGCAGGGCTGGGATATACACATTATTGAGGAGGAATCAGGGGACACATGAAATAGAACCCAATTTATTTCAACAAATCCTGTAAGCCCCTTGTGTGCCAGTGTTAGAGTGGAAAATGGCCGTCAGGGATTCTGAGCACTGGGAAGGTGCTCACATATTGCTTTTTTTTGCAACGCTCCAAAGCCCAACTATCCCGAGTTCCTCTCTTCTGTTTATTGAATTTCCTCCCCTCCCAATTCACCACAATCACTTATTACCAGTCCCTTCTCTTTAAAACATCCCCCCCTCCTCCCTGCCACAAAACAAGGAGGGCATTCTCACCGTTCTCCACAACAGGGCTGCAGCAAACAACTTCACGTATGTGAAGTGGTGCAATTTATACCAGCTTAATTCATATTAGATAAGATTTCAAACTGCTGAAAGCACATGTGGCCATGACATGTAGGAATCTTATTGCAATTTTTGTTTGGGTTGAGATATTTAAAAATAAAGACAAGAGTTTGAAAGAGAGATCAGGTGGAGAGGACAATGAGACGGAATTGGAAAGGTGTTAGAATGTTGTGAAATGCCCCAAATGGTTGTTTACAGTCATTTAGGACAACTTCCTACACCTCAGTTACAGCAGTCTTCAAGTAACATGGATTGGGTAAGATATGTTCTTCAAGGCGAAAATCACTGTATATGAAGTGTAAACTCATCAGCATCCACACTACTCACAACAGCAAAGACATAGAATCAACCTCAATGCCCATCAGTGATAGACTGGATGAAGAAAATGTGGTACATAGACACCATGGAATGCTATACAGCCTTACAAAGAATGAGATCATGTCTTTGCAGGAACATGGATGGAGCTGGAGGCCATTATTCTAAGCAAACTAACATCAGGAACAGAAAACCAAATACCGCTTGCTCTCACAAGTGGGAGCTAACTGATGAGAACACAGGGACACATATAGGGGAACAACACACACTGGGAGCTATCAGAGCGTGCAGGGTGGGGGGAGGGAGAGGATCAGGAAATATAACTAATGGGTACTGGGCTTAATACCTGGGTGACAAAATAATCTGTACAGCAAAGCCCCACGACATGAGAAAAAATATCTGCACACGTACCCTTGAACTTAAAAGTTAAATTTCAAAATAAACAAAAATTAAAATAAAAAAATTTCATCAGCATCCCACTGTGAGGTCTGTACAAGGAAGAAGGTTCATGTCCCAGGGTGAGGGTGAAACTCTGCTCATGATCCTCTCCTGCTCCCACTGCGGGGAATGAAGCATGGGCGTATCTAAGGAGAACACCTGATCTCCATTTCCTTTAAATTAGCCTTTTAGACTGTTTACAGAACACAAACCAACAGTTCAAGAGAAAAAGTATAAATATGTCAAGGGACTAATGTGACAAATTTTCAATTCAATCCAGCATCAAGATAG